ATCTTCCAGGGATGGATCAACGACCTCCGACATGGATGCCTATCTACGGACAAACCGCGGGGCCGGGCATCCATCGACATATCCGAGGGAGGGAGGGACGCGCATAGGGATAAAATGTCGATAGGACGAGGAAAGGATCGATTGGGAGGCGACAACGACGTTTACGAGGATCGCGGTGAAAAAGTCGTCGTATGAATAATGGTATGACTTAATACGCGGCGATCCAACGTCGGAGGACGAAATTGCCAGCTCGTCCGGAAATTTACGAAGGCTTGGAGCGGACGTTGATTAGACGTATCGTCCATTACGTTCGAAACTCCGTTCCTCGAGGATTCCCCTCTTCTCTCCCTGCGAATAATTCAATTCAATTACTTCAGATAGCTCGAGTTGTTTAAAAACTCTCACTTGTCCACACACACATCGTGGATCGGTTATTTCCACGGTAGAAATATATTAATTCATTCAGAGATCCAAGCGGTTGGAAAAATTGTGCAAAGATCGTATCGTATCGGAAAGGCGAGGTCAGCCGGATAATTCGAAAGGGTGAGACATCACACGTGAGAGGAAAGGAAGAAAAATATCCGCGCGTTGAACTTTGATGTACTGTCAGCCGGACATCGTAAACGCATTAGTTGGCTGTATATATATATATATATACAGTAGAGAGTCGGTCGGTATTCCGTTATAGACGTTCCACCCGGCTATCCGTCCGGCAAGTCGCGGCAAGTTCGTGGGAGACTCGAGCGCGATAGAGACACGGACAGATGAGCGCAATGAATAGAGACGAGCGTCCGAGCACCGTCCGAGACGATGCAAGGAAAAGGCTTATACAAGCCTAGAGAGCGAGCGCATAACACACACATCACGAAGAGGGAGAGAGAGAGAGAGAGACATGGCCCCCGAACACAAGAGGTGATCGATGTCGGCCTTTAACGCGGCCGGAATCGTGAAGAATGTTTGCCTAACAAGGCAAACACGGGCCGGTCCGTGGCGATACGGTCGCGAACCATTGTCGGGAAAACGAGCGACACAACGCGGGTGTATTATCGGTGCCGGATATCGGAACACGATGACCCCCATCCGGCTCGGCGTGAAACCGACCAACGGATCCACGTCAATCAAACCTTTCTCCCGTGCTTTTTCGCCTCGTTAATGGGGGGAGGGAAGGAGGATTCGATAAATTAGATAGAAATTTCGTGGATAGATGATGTGGGTTAGAGATAGAGTACGACCATCGACGAGTATCGTTTCAGGCCCTCGAGGATGAGGTTAGGCGTTTTTGGGTTACGAGGTTTGCGATGAATCGAGGGAATGTGATTCATCGTCTAAGGTTTAGAATCGGTGATCCGATTGCTGAGTCAGTCGATTGTAATTCCGCGATCTTTAAAACCGGAAAACCGCGTTCCATTGATCAAGGCTCGCGTGGCCGTGAAGGTTTTGCAAAATCAATCGTGAGGATATATATATATATATATATATATATAACGATACAGTCATTCGTATAAATTTTCATGCTGCCTTGTACGAGTAAAATTTCGATATCGTATCGTAGACAAAAAAGAAAAAAGAAACGAGTTTCTGAAAGATCTTCAACCACATTTTTCCAAGAAATATCTCATAAAATTTACGACTATATATACATATATTTCTTACAATTCTAATAACGTGCCAACAAAATGATTCTCTCCCTTGGTGCCAAGGACGGAACCTGGCTTCGTATCGTCGTTCTGCACGCATCGTCGATCATTTCACGCGTCGTTGCTGGCATATTTTCCATAGAGTTAGAAAGACCAGAGTCTCTAGAAAGACGTTCGACATTCGTTAGCCTACGAAACGCGGCCTCGCGTCATACAGTGTGTCGCCATACCGTATGATTTATCGCTGTGAAACTCGGTAGGGGTATGCGGAAATCGATTACACGCATACACATCCCGCGAACAACGATTCGTTCGTTGTTGGAAAATGCAAAGAATCGAGAAGGAGGAGAAGCGGTTGGTAGGCGGGCGATGCAAAAATCCCGATGATCCGTTAGCGCGGCGCGGTACAACGCTAGCTAATGCCGGCGTTAAAACGTCACTTGGCCGGCAAGGAATAGAAGAGAAGAAGGGATGGAGAGAGAGAGAGAGAGAGAGAGAGCACGTGATACGAATCGTTGCCAGCTGAGTTACGGCCGACCTGCCACGACCTCGGATTATGAGGGTTATTGCCTGCGCGAGTATACTAATTAGCGTGGATATATACTACGAGGCTTACGGTAAATATCGACGAGAATTTTCGCGTGATACGTCCAACTTAACGCACGCGACGCGACTTTATGCAAGAATCCTAGAGCTCGCTCCCCTCCGTCATTTCGAACCGTCGACAGAATTATTTTGTTCCAAACGCCTTCCCTTCGCTCCTTGTACTCCGTTTCTGCTTCCGCATATATATATTCACATCCCGAAAGAAAGATGGCGGCGACAGGTAACACGGAAACAAACTCGCCTCCTTGTTGGACGATGAAGTTGGATGGTGACAAAAGGCGACAAACGAACGTCACGTGACGAAGGGACGAAGGTGTTAAAGGGGGGATTAGACGCGATACAGTTGAGACGCGTGGTGGTTCGATGAATCGGATTGAAAAATTGGGTATAGTACAAGTTGTTGCAACACGATGATATTTCCGAGATACACGTGTACATACACTTCCTGAGAAAGTAGTCAAGAGGCAGGTTGCTTCTGTGCGTTGTAAACGCGTTGCGCCATAACTCATGACTTAATCTTCTGTGTATTTCTCATGCCGTTTGAGATACGTACTCACGCTTCTGCGAGTTTCACCGGCGTACGCCTGAAACCGCACGAGGAAGACAGGTTACGGACACCTGATGAATATGACCGTCGTATCTTTCTCTCTCTCTCTCTCTCTCATCCGCATCCGTCCAATTCCATGGTAAATAATTCACAGCGAACGAGATACTCGAGACCCATCCACGTATGTACGTTCCTTAGATTCTTATTCAAATTCCATATAACAATCATCTTCGAGAGGAATATATCCTACGACGAAGCCCTTCTCTTTCCTTCTCTCTTGTTCTCCTCGAACTTCTCAATCGACGTTACTCGATCGCAAAATCGAAACGATTTCAATTCTTTTATCGAATTCGTCGATTCTTGATAAATCGGCCGACCGAATACGAGGCGCGATCGGAATCAAGATCGATTCCACGCGATAGACAGAATACGTATACGCGTCCAGGTTCTATCTACAGGTGGTCGGATCTACGCGTCAGATCGAGTGCGCGGACCGGTTCGAGATCTCAGGATCTTCCCGAAGCTATGGGCGCTACCAGGAGGCATCGCGCGGAAACGTAATACCATCTACTAGAAAGAATCGTGGCTCCTCCTCGACCGCCCCCCCCTCTCTCGCGATCTCGTCGCTGCTTCTGGGCCCCGGTCGCTTCTCTGCCTACCACATCGGTAGGTTTCGGTCGGTAGCCGGCCGTTTAATATGGCCAGCCAGCTCGCCATACGGAGACACTGACAGATCTCGGCAATTAATAAAACGTTTCCCTGCTTATTGTCGTGCGCGGCTCGACTCGCCTCTGCTCCTCTGGGCCTACCCCTTTCACCGGCGTGAGCGGTCTCTCCGATCCTCACGAGCTTCCTCGGCTTCGTCGTCGTTCCACAACCGTCGTCCTCCAACCATCTACTCCACCATCTCATCCAGGAGATAGTCCCTGCTACTCTTCCGCGCCCGTTCCTCGTGGAAGCGCGAGGTTGACGCACACGGCGAGGCCTGTGCCGGTTCTCTCAATGGACGCGTATTAATTGGGCCTTGGCCGAGACTTGGCACTGGTGGATGTCCTCGTGTCGAGTTTCCGCCTCGTGGCTCGATTGTTGTTGTTGCCCCCGTACGACCAGATAACGACTAGGCCTGTCCGATCCTCGGCCACCAACGGACCACCTCCTAGGTTCACCAGAGATCGAGGCTTAGCTTAGCAAAAGCCAAGTCTCCACTCTAATGTAGAACGATCGAAGAGGATGGCGCAGGGTCCTCGTGGGTGAAAAATCCTCCTCAACAGGATCTCCGCGCCTAGGCGAACATTGTCGCGCAACATCTCGAAAAACGATACGATCTTCGGCTGGATCGTTGTTGGACGTTATTACGAAGGAAGGCTCGATCTCGCTCGATAGGAGGACGGAGTCATGACGAACGCTTTTGTCTGGATCGTATCTTCGAATGTTTAGATGTGTACGAGGCAACAGGTACCGGGACACGATTCGTTGGACGGGCGAGAAGTTAAGAAGTCGTGGAAGATCGGGAACGGGATGAAAGTTGGCGATTACGATCAAGAAAATTCAAGAAACAAGGATGAGTTATGACGGCTGATTAGGGGAGGGAACACGTTCGGCTGTAACTCTTCTCGTTGCTGCTTGCGGCGGTGCAGCAGATAAATCTCCCTTGCGTTTTGCAACGCTTTTTCTTGTCTTGGAATTATTTGTCACTACAAACCAGGAGATCCCCTTTTCCTCATCTTCGAATCGATCTATCTCGTCGATTGATCCCTTTAAATCCTTGAGGAGTATCATCTTCCAATCCTTATTTTTAAATTCTTGCGAGCCATTTACAAACAACAACGATAGGGGATCTAACAATTTTCTCAGCCACGCTTCGCTAACATCTAACGTTACTCTCCTTCCCCCACAAAATGCTTCAAATTTGATTTCATATTTGTACCTCGTTTCCACGCCGTTCCCGTTTTTCTCCGTTTTAATATCCATCTGGACCGAGGAAAAACCGTAATTGAAACCATATCGACTTCCCTTGAACAGTCCGGAGCGTAAAATAATAGGTGATCGTCCTGCTGCACAACAAGCTTCAACCGTATTCTCTATTCTCGAGAAGGAGCGAGCAATTATTATCGCGAGCATTCCGTGACGACGCGTCCTGACAACAGCGAATGGAATGTCACGGATTTCTTCGAAGGATTTCTTCCGCGGTCGACGCCTCGATATTATACTCTCTTTCTCTCTCTCTCTTTTTTTCCCCTCTCTCGTTAACCAGGGCAACCGATCGTTGCAAAGGAAAAATCGAGCGCGGTTGCGCAAGAACCGCGGAACGGGTTATTATTACGCCGTTACCAACCAGATCCGTTTTTGCCGGATAGAAAGTCGCGGCCGAGTGGAGCTTCCACGGGGCAAACTATCCGCGACGGACGGACGAGGCTCTGACGGTCCGAATATAGATCAAAGATCCGATCTACTTTACGATCGTCGTCGCTTTTCGCCCTTCGTTCTTTCGCGGCGACACCGAGGTAAACGGTATTAGCTATCAGAAGCTCGCAAATTTACTCGACGGGTGAATCCCTTTTGGCCGAGTCCTCGTCTTTCGCTGACGTTCGAGATGCACGCCTCTTCGTTCGTATTCTCGGGACGATTCGTGGAACGTATGGTTCCGTGCACGGTAGAATTGCGAATAAGCGGGCTTTGGTAAAAATTTCTTTGTGATGATTCTAGAATAATTGTTTCTCTTGGAAAACAAAAAAAAAAAAAATAAAACTCCTCTTTCGCATTCTTAATAAATTCGTCCTATAAACCAACAATTGTAATTATCCACATAGCAATTGTTTCAAGATCACCAACAAATTTGCCCCGGCTGGATTCGAAGGAGATTCGACGAGCGAGAATCCTCGTGTCGTTAACCGGTCAAAAATTCGGGATCGTGCGGTAGCCAAGTGGGCGCCAAATGTCGGAGGGGGTTTACAACACGCGAGCTCGGTTGCGAAAACAACGAACAGGAAAGAAGAAACGGATGAAGATATCCTGACGTTGCCGAAGATAACGAACACGAACAGATCGACGGTGTATTTCGCCACAATATATGCGGACCGACTCTTTATCCACGACGCTCGGCCACCGATACCGCTATCGGAAATCTGCACCTCGGAACCGCTAGTAATTCGTTTTCCCAACGCTACCTAACCGATATCGGGGGTCGATTTATGCGTATTCACGGGCCGAGCGTTCGTTATCGGGCTCGCACGATCGGATACCGGCCGCCATTATTACCGATGTTCGGCCTAACGATCGCGCTAAGTCGCGCCCGGGCCAGAGGTTGACCGGTTTGTAAATTTCCGAAACGATGGTATTACGCGCTAAAAAAACGTGGATTCCAAAACGATCGCGGATGTACCTGGACGGAGGAAGGACGCTGCTTGTGGACGATCCCCGTCTTTATTATATCTGCTTCTGCCCCACCACAGATGCGTAACCAGATGGCGCTCTTCGCAGGCTTTTTAATTATGCGGATATTATTCGCATTCGAGCGTTTAAGTGCCTCCTTAAAAGCGATATTTCTCTACGGTTTAATTAATTGTTGCGTGCTATCTTAATCTTCTCCTCGAATCCAATTAAGATTAAAATTGTTGCACCGATCCAAACAATTTATTCGTATTTCTCTTTCCTATTAAATGAAACGGAACGTGTTCCAAAAGTTATATTTCATCCTCTTGTTTCGATCACCATTCGATTAACGACGAAGGCGCGTTGTTAAAAATAGGAAACGACAATTTGCCAGCCTTCTATCGTCGATCGAATCGAATGAACGAAACACGAGTATAAATCTCGTTTAAACCCGGATGGGAACCCGAACTTACTCGGGACGGCTTACATAACCAAAACACGCGACGCGAAATCTCAATATCTCTCGAGCCCGGCAACAATCCCGAACGGGGAACAACAAACGACGTTCTCGCGAGGGAATCGGCGGAGGAATCGTTTGAGGCTCGCCGGGGTTGTGCAGAAAAAATTAAAGGAATACAAGGAGGAGAGGGTCCCTCTTGAGGAAGGGCACCGAGGAGGGAAGAGGCAGCTGACCTGGATGCCGGTTCATTTCGAGTTCGGGATTCGGGAATTGGTTATGAATAATGCAAAGCGTTGGCCGAGCGTTCGTCGACCGGCTCGAGATCGAATCCGCGCCGGTCAAACGCCAGGTTCCGGGTGAGAGGGCCTAGGACCCGGCTTTAAAACGCCGAGGACGACGACGAGGACCAACCGAGTCCAGCTGTGTTGCATCCACGGAACCCTACTACTCCCCTCTCCGCGAGTAATAATAGTAGTAGTAATAGTAGTAATAGTAATAGTAGTCCTTCGGGATAGTTCGGGAGAAATAACCGCGAGGGGGACGGGTACGGGGACCCGGTGGCGACGACGACGTTTCGTCGAAATATTTACTTTTCGGTGCTGCATGAATAATGCATCTGTATCGCGCACTTGGCAGCCCTGTTGCAGCATACATCAGCCGGTGTAACGAGGATTCAAAGCGTATTTCCGTTTGCGAAAAGCGTGGTTGATAAAACGACAAAGAGCGTAACGACTCGTCCCGGGGACGAGTTATACGCGGCCGTCCCCCTGGCCGAACGGTGGTTGCATTCTTACCACGGTTTACATCCTGAATTATAGATCCCCGCGTGCATGAGAAGTAAACGTTTCGTCCTCGTCTCGTTTCGATTGATATCCATCCAGATCTCGTCCCGCCTCTTCGTCCACTTCTTCTTTCTTCTTTCTCGCGTCGTCGCGTTCCGTTTATATTCCATTTCCAGATATAACGCACATAGAACGGTATTGGAACAGAGGGGCAAGTTGAACCACCTGCTCAGCTTCCATTTCCTTTAAATTTCTAACTTTAAATTTCTAATTTCCGTTCCCCGCTTCTATCCATCTCGAACGAAACGCCGGAGGAGCGATTCCGAATTATTCGACCCTTCGAGAAACCACCAACTGTCCCTGCGTTGCCCCTGTGAGTCGTCGTATTCACGATTTCGCCTCGACGACTTACGCCTCTACGAAATGAAGAAAAAGAGGGAAAAGAAAAGAGGACGACGACGAGTTTAATAAAGGAGGCAGGCACGAGACGAGGCGGTGGTTGGGTGGCACGAGCCATCGCGATTTGCCACCCCAATCGCAGGAGTTGGTCGGAGGGTGGGTTTGGAGAGCGTGCCGTGTCTCGATATCTCGGCCCGCAGATGTTTTCTTTCGGGCGACGTTTCGTGGAAGGCAATTTCGCGGCGATACGTTTCGTACGCCTTGTTGACCAGCCGTTTCGCTACGCGATTCCGACTCGTAGTTTCCGACCCAGCTTTGTTGCACATCTGCGTCGTCGATCGAAGCCACGACGTGGCGGATTATCCTTGGGGCTCGCCAAGCACCGGGATTGTTTCTCTCATCTCGCGTCGATAAATATATTATTGCACGATGTGAGAAATTTACGCGTCGATGCGTAAACGTAGGCCGTTGACACGATAGATCGACAAGTAAGATTATTACATTTTTAATATCGAATTGTGATTTCTCTATTGAGATTGGAAGATTGATTTAACAAAAGATCCTTACAAATTTGAAAATGATTCGTTTCGATCGAACGTGTATAAGATCTGCCAAATCACGCGGCGAAATTACCGGCAAAAAATCGCGACACATCCTTTATTCAGCCCCAGATTTAACCCCACAAAAGGAGAAAGGTATTTTTCCATCGATCTTCATCCCTCGAATGATTCGATCGTACGAGAGAAAACCGTAATCCGCGTTCGAACGGAAGATCGTCGTCAACACTCGAAGATCCTTCGTTTCGTCCATTTCGCCTAATACAGTAGCCACGAACGAACGAACGAATTCTCGGCTCAGGGCCGTTTTGTCCTCGAGTTGGAGAGAGGGACGAGAGCGTCCGTCGATGCAACGTGACTCGAGCCGCTCATCGGCCAATTTTGAATAGCAGCTCATTTGCGGTGTCGCTCGCGCGTGTAAGCGTTTAAACCGCGCACAAAAGCGAGCGGAAAAATAAAGAAATCCGGTGGAACGGCAGGATTCTCGCTCGTTTAACCGAGTTCTTCCGCTCGTGTGCCGTATGTTACGCCTTTCAACCTTGCCACGGCTAATCTCCCTTCCTCCACGCCGACCTTTCACGAGCTTTTCGAGCATTTTATGGCGCGGAACGAGTCCTCGTTCGCCGAGGATCATCGGGCTTGATCCCCGACACGTTTCCAGGACAAGCGGTCGGACAGAAGATACGCCCCGGCCACGCCACGCCGCTCGAAAAATATGGAAGAAGCGACGACGACGACGACGTGTTCGCGTTCCTGCGGCTTTTCCTAGAATTCCGTGGCCGCAGGAGTATTGTTTCGCGCGCGGTACACCCGATTCGCCACGGTAACCGGTGCTGAGTCAGCCGGAAGTCGAGCGTGAACCTCGGCTCTTTCTCTCTCTCTCTCTCTCGAGTAGCTGCGTTTTACGCGTTACGAGCTTTTGACGGCCTGTCTTCCACGTTTCACGCGTTTAGACGTGCGCGTGGCATTCGCAAACAGGGTACATTATGCTGGAAGAACGAGAGCGGAAAGGTTCGGGTAGGTGGCGAAACAAGAATCACCATTTGCTAACTTTAAACTTCTAGTGGATATTTCTTGTTTCCTTGAGCCGCTTTTTAGATATATGCCGACCAATTTCAATTCAATTCGAACTGAACGTTTAATTCTAGAAATAGCAATAACGAGAAGATGTAATCATTCAATTTCCCCAAGCAGATATATACCCGCATCTCCCTCGTGTATGCAACGTTTCGATTTTTACCATGGAGGTACAACGTACCATTCGCCTCGTGATAACCGTTTTTCTTTTCCTGACAGATTGCCGTGGCTCCTCCGTTTCATGCATATTTCCGTCCGAACCGTGTACCGTTTTCGATCGCGGCTGATTCCCGCTCGGAATACTGTTCGCGGAATATCCTTCTCCCGACGATTACAAGGCAGGCATGCACGGCGCGCATATCCGGCGATTTTTCTAATTGTCGGCGCGGTACCGCTAAGCGCGGCACGATTACGCAGCACATGGATCCAGCACAAGGATCGAGGTGGGGACGAGGAGCATCGCGCTGACAGCGCTTTTCGAAATCGTCCTCCTTCGTGTCTTCCCCCGCCGTGTTTAGCCCGTCAAACGTGTGTCGTCGTGAGCTTGTAACTTTTGCGATAATCGCTTCCCCATTCTTCTTTCCTCTCCCCTCCCCCAATTCTCTCGTCGACGAAATTAATTCCCGGCACGACGAATGAAAACGTCATTCCTCCCGCAATTAACGATCTATTAAATCGACGACAAGTAAATCCCCGCCACTTCTCGAGAAATGCAACTTCTCCTCGTGTCTCTCCCTTTTGAAAGGGAAGGAAAGGAGGAGGGAAGAAACACGGTGCCACGAACCTCTCTTTGACGCGTCAACATCGCACAGAAGCTTCATTTTCGCGGCGAGAAACACGAGCTTCTTGCACAAAGGCGTAAAGGCCTCGCCTCGCGACACCTTATTTTCCTCAAACTAACTCTCGCCTCTTCTTCTTTCTCTCTTCTCCACGCTCGACTTTCTTCCTTAAATCATCCCTCCCTTCCAGGTCGTGCTGGAATATTACCCATCGGGCATAACCGATCCGAATTATTTAAGAAACTCGATAAACATTGGACCGAACGAGCGACGAGTAATAAACGATGTAAATTTGTCTTCGAGGGCCTTTCGAAGGGCCTTTTTCCACACGTTCCGGGGACCGGTGCATATCTCACGAGACGATTTCTCGCTCGTCCTCCCGACTACACTTTTACGATATATCCTGGCCAGGCAAAGATGCCACGGAAGACCTTCGAACCGTGGACTCTTCTTCGTTTCCATCGGTGGTCAAATCGATTTCGGCCAGGATCGAAGATAAGGTTTACGGCCGCGTTTTTGTCGGGTCGACATTTCGGCCAGTTCATAAGCGCATCGAGAGGCGGTGCTCGTCGCCTCTTTCCCTTATTTCTCTCTCCTCTCCTTCCCTCTTTCTTATTCCGCCCTGTTCTTTTGCAGTTTATTCGCGTGGTCCAAAAACGTGGTTAAAGAACGAGATGCTTTCGAGCCGACGCATTTCACACGTGTCAATCGCGCAAAGATTTACCGTTCTTTCTGCTTCGTTTCCCCGTGACTTCTATACGGCCTGCGCCGCGACACCTCGTCCTTCCTTTCCATCCATCCACCCGCGCTTCTCGCCTCGCGCATACTTCGTAAATCATCCCGCGAAATTTGCGCCCGAGCCAGACGTTTACGGTTGTTGCCAGCCTATTCCTTCGAAATGTTCCAACGATCTGGACGATATTTTTTTTTTCTTCTTCTTCTTTTCTAAGAGACCCGTGATCGATGGAGCAGGAAAGGAGAAAAGTATTTCTGAAAAGTGTCCCTTAGAAGTTTCGATTCAAACTCGATGCGATTTCTCCAAATTTTCAAATCATACAGCGTGCGATTCGATATTCTCGGCACGGATCTCAGACAGATCCCGATATTTCCCACAACGCCAACCAATTCCCCTACGTCTAATTGCCAGGTTTCAGGGGTAACAGTGTTGCTCGAAGAATTCCCAGCGTCAGAAAGCGTCGGAAATTCGAGTGAGAAGGTATCGAAATCCGCGAGAACGGAACGCGTCATCTCGAAGGCTCGCACGGTCGCGTTCGAGAGCCTTCCTCCTCGAGGCTTCCTCTCGCGGCACGAACGAGGAAACGTTACCTTCTCTCGTACAGGAGGAATAACAATGCGGCGAGGTATATACGGGAAATTAAATATTTGTTCACGGAGGAAGAAGGTCATCCGTATCGGAATACATTTTCCGATGTGGCGACGTGGCACGCATTCGTGGCGGGACGCGCTTCGTGATTTAATTAATTCTCGATCGTGCATCCGGACTGAGATTCGTATATATATATATATATATATACGCGTGTGTATGTGTGTGTGTAAGAAGGTTGAGTCATTCGATTCGAGAAGAATCCCGCGTGATGCTATGTGGATAAAGAGTCGAAGGAGAACGAGTAAAGGTAAAATGAATGGATGGATCTTCGTTTCGAATGATATTCAGGATTGAAATATATGATGATTTGGATATTGTTTTTTTACAGAATTCTGTTTAATTCTGTCTAATGAGATGTGATTCTTCACATTTTCTAAATTTTCAGGAGTAAACTATAATTGTATCGTTAAACGCGTATTTAGTTTACTAACGCGATAAACTTGGAAAGAAACTTTCTTGCGGTTGGGACAGCAAAAAGGCCCGATGTTCAAGCCGAATGAATCGAACGAAAGAAAAATCTACTATTTATCCTTCTTTTTCATCTTCAAGTTCACTACTGTTACACGCTATTTATACTTACTTTGCACAAGTACAAACTATTTCGAACAACAAATTCAAATTACACCAAACGTGACAAATTTTCAAAAAAAAAAAAAAAAAAAAAAAAAAAACTAGAATTCTACTTTGCAAGGATTCGAGATCTCCTTCTCGAATTCTAAAAAACATCTCGACGCTTCCTTCGAACCATCCACCATCACCAATCGGTCGGCCGCATTGTTCCACGAGCGTTCTGGACAGCGTCGTTCCACAACGAAAGGCATTTCAATTGAAGCGTGCACGGCCGTTTTAACACGGGCCCCCACGATAGATAGATAGATAGATAGATCCGTGGCCGGGTCGATAAGCGCGTTAATACCGGCGTTCAAGATCGTGGCGCGATCGAACGGTGGTAAAGATGACAGGCTCTCGGGACATAGCCCGCGGTACGACAGGTGGCTTCTCCAAGAGCCGGCCTCGAAAGATCCGATTTTCACGCGCCACGTCCTCCCGATCCATTCCATTATACAACCCCGCGTTCTATACACGAGGCCATTCCGTTAGGAATCTCATCTGCGTTCCCACAACAACAACAACAACAGCGCGAATTCCTGTGGAATCGTGGAACGACGAGGAGAGCGGCCGCGATATCGAGGCGAAGCCGGAAGGTCGCAGCCAGGATCCGCGCGAGATAGGTGGACGGATGGGCGAGAGAAGAAAAAGCACCGTTGGAATTCTTCGAGGGCCTTGCATCGGTATCGGAAACATCGTCGTTAGAGAGACAAGAGGAATCGTGGGCAACTCGAGGCGAACGCCTCTCTAATTATTCTCGCGGAGATCGATTTCCTGCTTCGAGGATGATAGTCACCGCCTCGAGCCCGTTTCCAACCCGTGTATCGGACGAGATAACGAGAGAACCGGCGTTTCCACTTGCCGCAATTTTATAACGAAATGAACTCGAGGTCGAGGTGTGGGACGGCGTGATGCTCGATGATCGCCTCTCCGCTCTTTAAATCGGTACGATCGATGCACTATAGATATCCCTTTGTCTCGATATATTTTTGATATATTTCTCGCTTAGACGAGGGTACGTTTCGTTACGACAGGAAACGAGTAATTATATATGAGAAAACAGCGGAAACGATACGTTTACGTTTCCAATAATCTTTTAACCAAATGTATGTCTTGTGAATCGAGTACAATCGGATGTTTCGTGCCTTACACTTACATTAAATCTCAAAAACTCTTCGCTTTTAATATTTCATCCGTTATCAGAAATTAATTACCGGAGTATACGTAATTTACGTCAACTCGATCTCGAGATCTCTCCTCTCTCCCTCGATGTTTACGAGGAGGGGTTCGGTCGACGACGACGACGACGAAAAGCGCGGCCGTTTAATAAAACTCGGGCAAACAGGTTGATACGATCGCTCGGGCAAATTTAGTCCTCGACATAATAATTTTCATTTGGGCCCGTCATCGCGCTCGGCTTACGGGAATCTTAATCATGCTCGGTCGCAGAGGAACGCGCCACTCTTCCACGCCGGTTTACCTATTCATGCGAGCCTTTGCACCGTGTTAATGAAAAATGCGGCCAGTCAGCTGGTGCTCGTCCTTACTGCATACCGGGTGACCGTGTTCACCGTGCGCCGCTCGTTACTGTCGCTCCGCGGGGGAAAAGAAATGTTCATGAACGTCGTGCACGAGCTCGTTGACGAATAAAATGCTCGTTTTATCGTGGCGAGTTTCAGCGCGATGCACTTAAGTCGAAGATTCATCGTTTTAGCGTTTTTTCTTTCCGTTTCTTTTTTCTTTTTTTCTTTTCTTTTTTTTTTTTTTTGTTTATTCTTTTTCTTTTTAAGAAGTATCGCGAGAATACACGCGAGGTTATTATCACGAGCTTTTCATTCGTCGTCGTTTTCCCCTTTTTATCGTGGGGAATGGGAATGAGAATATTGTTCGATATAAGCTATAATATTCTTGATTGATATTTATAGATTATTTATGGTATATATATATATATATTATGCATGACGTAGCGCAGCTATTACACTCTTGATTACAATAATAAACGTACGTAAAATTCTTTACGATATCTTTTCCTCCAAGTAATTCAGGTAAATAATTCTTTCCTTTTTTTTTTTTCTTCGTCGAGGATCAAATTATCTGTATGACCAAATAGAATATAACGTTCGATTTAACAATCTTTATAAAAGATACGTTTTTAAACGTATGATTCGTATTATTTCCCCGAATACGATTCTTCTTATTTTACATTCCTTCTCCCGCAAAAAAAAAAAAAGAGAGAGAAAGAATACAGGTCAATTTGTCTCGTAATCATACGGAATATAATATTCCCGATTGATACTTGATTTCGAAGTAATCGAAATCCTTTATGAAATATATTTTCTACGGCTAATTCATATTTTCCTCCCCACCCATAATCCCATTTAGCATCGATTCCACAAATATATATAACTCCTCCTCCGTTTTTATCAATCGGTCGGGTAATCACGTTCCTTTCAATCTTGCCCCAAGTTAATTGAACCAGGAGGACAATCTATCCTGCATCGAAAACAACATTGCTCTCGATATAACACGTGTCACATCCGTGTACACGGATCAACGATACACAACCATCGGGAAAAATCCATCAGGGGATTCCGTGGTCTATAATGACCATCGATGAGACGCGTTAATATTTTCGTAATATCCAACACACCAATACCTCCTCCTCCTTAAAACGTTCCACCAACCAATCCCGTTAACCAATATCCGATCCCGTCGTGCAAAACACAGGGCCCCATTAATAACAACAATATCGGGGGGAGGTATTGGATAACCGTCAACCAACTTGTTCGAGGTATATAACGCTCGCTTATCTATCGCGCTCGATCGCCCGTCTGATCGACATCGGCTTTGTAAACTTGGAGGAAGTTCGTTTCCATTCAAGAACGTCCCGAACGTCGAGGAATTTCGCTTCGAGTGCCACGAGACTAGAGAGAGAGAGAGAGAGAGAGAGAGATCGCTACTTTCCACCGCGTCGTTTCTCTTTCTCCTCTTCTCCTTCAAGGAAATTGCGAGAAATTGGCTGGCTGGCTGGTGGTTAGACGTGGAACAACCGAGGAACAGGTGTAAGGGGAATAATATAATTACGCGCGCTGCTTAAGGAATGCATTCTTGTTGTGGCTTTATTCTTATTCTCGAGAATGTATCTTTATTGTTATTGTTATTATTATTAGTAAATTTAAAAAAATTAAAATCCTCGGTACTTGGACTTTGATTCCTTTAAAAGAATTTCTATGATTTGACTGGAGACCACGATAGTCATTAGTCGAATTGCAGTTAGGATCTTGTTTAGAGTTAATCAGCTTGTTAAGATCAAGAGTTTGGATGTTGTGATTGTTGCGGATTTGTGTTGCAAGGATGATGACAACGTATTTGTAAAATGGTTGTTTGAATAAACAACAGCGACACATTGCACGGGTGATCCGCATTGATGTAACGAACCAGCCTCACCAGAACGCTCTTAATTAAAATCTGTTCACGCTTGTGTAAAACGCGAAGTGTAAGAAAGTTTCGTTAAGCTCGAGGAATAGTTTCCAGGTTAAGTGAAGTTGAATTGCCGGTTGAAGGCATTTTCCAAGATATCGAGATATTTTACACGATCTCGATTACTTACAAATTAAACGTAATAGGTAACGTCTAATTTTTTAACGTAATCCATTCAATGGTAGAATTGAATTTCCTGTTCGAAAGTACCTATCTGGAACTCGTACTCGTAATTTCTCGTCATTTTTTTTAATCCTCTCCTATCCCTTCGTTCGTCTCGGACATAAATAAGTCAGAGAAAGTCAAAACTGAATTTCCTGCTTTAAAAGTATATCCATTTAAAAATTTTACTCTCAATTTCTATGTTACAGTGTTATTTTATAATCTTCTCGTTATGTAGTCTCGTTACTTGTCCCGAATAATAAACGTAAATAAATCACACATACAAAAAAAAAAAGAAGAA